GGACTTGGTTCTATGGTAGGTCTTAAAGGGTTAATGAAGTGTCCACCACACTGAGAGACATTAGGAGTCACAGTCAGCATCTCTTGTGTCCGTTGAGCTCGACTAAACCTCAGTGAGATGTTCAGTGTTGTTGCGTCTGCAGAGCTGCTCTTCTTCTTTCAGAGAGATGCTGTGACGTCTTTAACACGCGATCCACTGTCATCAGTCGTATTTTGTGTTTTCTTTTGTTTACAGAATGGTTTCGGGTTTGGTACGCGCCGTGTGATCGAGAAGATCCTGGAAGATCCTCCAGACAGGAGACTGTAACACAGGATACAGCTGTGCAGGATACAGCTGTGTAACAGACCTCCCACAGACGTCCAGCGTTACAAAGGTGTAATGCTGCAGACCTGACAGCGAGCTCTAAACATGACCTTTGTCTTTAGTATCTGTATCTTTAAGATCCAAAGAGCAGCTGCTACACTGTGAACCTGTAACATCCATGGAGAGAGTCGTAGGTTTTTAAAGATCAGACACATAATGAAGCCTTAAAGTCTGGCTCATGTATCTCAGTGGACCTGCTCTTTCTGACCTGCAGTGCTGCTTTTACATTTTCTTCATCAGGTGCTGAATACATGTTACACTGATTCTGGATGTCAGTCTCTGACACCAAAGATCCACAAGAAAGAGACATTTGTGTGTATTAGATCATCTTAAATGTTTAAACTTTATAATATATCATATTATTTAATTCGTTTAGTCTGTTACTGTTGTTGTATTGGAGCGACTGTAACCACATAATTTCCTTATGAATCATTAAAGTGCTCCGATTCTGAAGAGACCAAAGGTCACCTGAGGTCACTGACGCTGACTTGAACTCGCGGCTGTCACGTTTCTGTATGAGCTGCTTTAAGCTGCTGGATGAACTCCACCCGTGTAAAGATGGATGCTGTAGTAACAGGAGGGTTTAGATCTGCTGCCTACCCAGACAAAAACATGAGAGCGCACAACACATGGACTTCCTGTTGCAGAGCTGCTGCGGTGCTCACTGTATGGCTAACCTGTACTGTTGACTGAACGACGTCTTTCCAAACAAACCAAAACTGATTTTGAGGAAACTTGAAGAGCTCTGAGACACCCGGCTCTTACTGCTGTAATAATATAGCAATAAAAGACATTTCCAAAGATTACAGACTCCCTGTGAAGTGTGTGTGTGACAGACTTTGCATGATTGTTTGTAGTTTTTCCTTTTCTTTGACGTTGTTATCTGTACGTAAAAACCACAGTGAGACTGAATGCTGCTGGAATTTCACGTACTTGTACAGATGGTGACTAAAATTCTAGTTATAAACTTA